CTTTCCTCTTTCATAGACATGCTTTCTGCAAAATAAACATAGTTTATTTGTCAGCCACCTATCTTGTTCGGTGGAAAGTTCGTGTGCGATTTGTGTGCTTGTGTCTATGGCATTAGGGTCTTTGGGGGTGGTCGTCTTGTTTCCGGTGGTTTGTCCAGTGGGCTTGTTACCTGAAAGCTGCTGGAGGTGCTTGATCTCGATTTTTAGACAGAATTCGAGATAACCCATCCAATCCGTTGGGATCTTGGCGGGGTCCAGCGTCTCTGTGACTGACATTACTGTTTGGATATGTAGCAACCGTTGTTCCCTGATTTTGACGATCAAATCTTCGTCAGAGTAACCTAATTCAGGTGCGTAAGCCCTGAAATTCTTCGCAAAAGCGATCATTGTCTTGTGGCGAATTGTGCAGTGCGCATCTAGCTGTGACTGGGCCGTGCGCTTGGGGTCCAGTGTCTTGTAAGCCATTTCCAACTTCCTTGTATATTCTGCCCATGTGCCGATGGGTTGCCCGGATGAGAGCTTGATTGCATACTCCTTCATATATAGAGCAGCTTCTCCTTCCAGGTGAGAGTTGGCCTGCCGAATTTTGTCCTTATCATTGGTGAAGTTGTTATAGTCCAATCAAATTTGGAGATTCATGAACCATGTTTCAAAGTTCTCTGACGATTTCCTTCCCGAATACTTAGGGGGATCTGGAAGCTTAATTCTGCAGGGTGATTGGGTGAATTGGCCGGCCAATGGTTGGATACCTTGTGGAGGCGCATTGATGATGGCGTTGTTGAGTCGGGACTCTAAGCCAACAATGTAGGTAGTGGTCTTTTCCTGAGCCTCCTTTAGGGCGACCATGCTTGCGTAAAGAGCGTCCGTCTGGCCCTTTACTTCATTCTTGTAATCTTCGAAGTCCTTGTGGATTGCTTGGGCTTCGGCGGTCAAAGTGGTATTGCTTTTAGCGAGTCTTTCGACATCGGCGGAGAGGGTGCCGATTTGTGCTTTTGCAATTTTTAACTGGTCTCGGATTTCTACTGCCATTATTTCGATGTGGATGTGGGCCAGTATCTCGTCCTCTATGCTAGCAGCCACTCGTTCATGTCTTTCATTCATTTTTTGTGTAGAGCCTCGTAGGAGCCTACTACATCCCTTAGAACGAACGAGCAGACCACATTCATCACCCAGTCCTTGACGTCTGTTGGGACTGTGGCTGGTGCAGCCACATTGGCTGCTTCTTCAATAGTGGCATAGGGTATGCCATCCCATTCCCATGTTGAGGGAGTGGCATATTCTGGTAGGACTGAAGGCGACGGGTTTCTGACTACACCTGACGCTTTTGATGTGCTGCTTGTGGGTTGTTCTGGGCCAGGGGCAGCAGCTTCTGGTTCCGATGATTGAGAAGTGGCCTGACTCCTCCAGGGGTCTGCAGGCTCACTTCTTGTAGTTCCTTCTGGGAACATAATGCTACAGAGGTTGTATTGAGACATAGAAATAGATGTGGAAGAGAGAGGGAACAAGTTTGATGACAATTTAGAAGGGATCGGTGTTATTAGCAATAAGATCCTCTTCTGTCAACTCCTGATGGAGTTGTTGCTCTCGTTCCTGTAGCAATGCTTCCTCAATAAGTCTATTCCTTCGTTCTAGTGCCGCTGGTCTCGGATGCGCTTGTAACGGGAAGTCTTCGTTCCACACTTGTTGAAATCTTTCTTCGTCCTCTTGGTAAAGTCTAGCGTAAAACTCCCAAATTTATCCTTCCGCGTAGTCTCTAACTGGGTTGTGGATGTCGTAGCCCATGTCAATGAGATGAAAATACGTGTATCGGATATAGGCTCACTCAATATTAATCGAGTTGTAATAGAGGACGATTGGCGAGGTGACAAGCAGTGGTTGGTAGATGAAATATGTGGTGAATGCGACATGAAGTTCGTCGTTCTCCAAGTAGTGGTTAATGATGTAGT